ACAGTTAGAAAAATATTCCATAATTACCATTTTACGCTTATATTATTTATTATTTTGAAAATAGAACAAGTTACTTGAAATTAATATGTATAATAATAAGTATAATTTATGATATTATTTATTTGCTTAAATATAAACTCCGTGATATCACTAAAAATATTAAAAACCAAGATCGTCTACATCATACTGGTGAGCACGATAATAGATCGTAACTAACTTTTACTAATTAAATGTACCATATAGTCATGATTTGGATCATGTGATACATTTCTGGCGTGTATTATTACTTACACTACTAGTTTACTTAGAACAACCGGTTACATTTGCAAACTTCCTGTATAATCTAATGTCGGAATATTCAACCGCAGAAGATTATAATATAATATGATGTAAGAATCTTTTAATAAAATCAATTAATCAAGTGTTGACTTAACGACGGCCCGTAATTGATACAAAGCACATTAAAACTAAAATTTATTGGAAAATAAAAAAAAATCGTACTGAAGAAAAAGCAAGAAATCAGTCGTATATACATTAATAAAATAATAAAATAAAATTTCCCGACCGAGAAAAACCCATTGTATATATGTTAAAATTTTTGTAAAGACAAATTTTCCAGAGGGCAGTGTGCCTGGAGGACGTTTTGGCATGTAGACAATTTTGTCCAGGCGACGTTTTGGCTAGGAGACATTTGGCTGATTTACAACGTCTAACGACAAAGGATAGACAATTTTTAAGCATATCTTGTAATACGCTTCTCTTCAGACAACTAGTATAGAATATTAATTTTTACATATTCCAAAATGAAAATTGTGTAACGTAAGTGGAAGGAAGGCATGAACATAACCACTTTGCTACGAACATAATTAATTGTATATACATTAAAATCCATATTTAAAACTTTCTCATATATCAAAATTAGTGTATCATATCAATTTGTCATCAGATCTGTGATGGATAAAGAAATTTTTTATTTTTGCATTTAAATTATTCATGGTCCAAAGATTCAAAATATATAGCGTTCGTTATATGTCGCGGTTGACTACCAAATTTTTATAAATCGTTAATATAAATTTACTTATATTTTGTGATAATCATTTTATTTTAAATAATTAAATAAAAACTTAGTAAATTATGACAAATAATCATTAAAGCCTTGAATTTTGGCTCTCATTTAAATTTTCTCTAGAGTAAAGGTCTTATGATCTTTTTTAACCCAAAGGTAAAAACATATTGTTGCACAGGTTCCGTACTCTGGAAAAGGTTACCAATTCATCCTAACCTTAAAAAACTTTTATTTGAGCGAAATTTTTTGCTCAAAAAAAAGAAATTGTCTGTATAGTATTTAGCAAGACAATGATCCTAAGCACACTAACCACATAGCAAGGAATTTTATCAAGCCAATATGTTAGTCCTGACCTTAACGTTAGAGAATCTATGGATTATCGGCGATACTAACGTAGATGGGGCAACGACAAGCAAATCTCAGAGGTTTCGACAGATATCGAAGAATTCAGATTCTGTTATATTTAGGATCGATGAGAAGATTTACACAGCATCACCAGGAAAATGGTACGAAAATCATTGCGTCATATATAGTCTATTTTGTAGTCTATTTATAGTGTATATTTTTATTGGAATGATTTGTCAGGCTGTCACAAAAAAATCTTGATGAAAATTTGTTTTTTTAGTGCAAATCCCCAGACAATCTCCTGAAACAATCGTTACGAAAACAAAGCAAACGAAAATCTAGAGAAAATACAGAACAGATAGTGATTACTGTGAAATGACAAAATGGAGAAAAATTAAAATGTGAATGAAAAAATTTGTAGCAAAAAGAGATTATCTACCCTATTCTATATTTAATAGATATAGATAAGTAAATTTGTTATTGCAAATATTTTTTAACAAATATATTGTATCTTAAAGGACAAAT